ATAAATAGTGTTACTCCTACCTCCCCCCACCCATACAACATAACCAGTGTTACTCCTACCTCCCCCCACCCATACAACATAACCAGTGTTACACCTACCTCCCCCCACCCATACAACACAACTAGTGTTACTCCTACCTACCCCCACCCATACAACATAACCAGTGTTACTCCTACCTACCCCCACCCATACAACATAACCAGTGTTACTCCTACCTACCCCCACCTATACAACATATAACCAGTGTTACACCTACCTACCCCCACCCATACAACATAACCAGTGTTACACCTACCTCCCCCCACCCATACAACATAAATAGTGTTACTCCTACCCCCACCCATACAACATAACCAGTGTTACTCCTACCTACCCCCACCCATACAACATAATCAGTGTTACTCCTACCTACCCCCACCCATACAACATAACCAGTGTTACTCCTACTCCCGAACTATACATCAGAACCAGCGTTACTCCTACCCCCACCCATACAACATAACCAGTGTTACTCCTACCTATCCCCAACCAGACAACATAACCAGTGGTAATCCTACCTACCCTCATACAACATAACCAGTGTTACACCTACCTACCCACACCCATACAACATAACCAGTGTTACTCCTGCCTACCCACACCCATACAACATAACCAGTGTTACTCCTGCCTACCCACACCCATACAACATAACCAGTGTTACTCCTACCTACCCCCACCCATACAACATAACCAGTGTTACACCTACCTCCCCCCACCCATACAACATAACCAGTGTTACTCCTACCTACCCCCACCCATACAACATAACCAGTGTTACTCCTGCCTGCCCACACCCACACAGTATAACCAGTGTTACTCCTACCCTACCCATACAACATAACCAGTGTCACTCTTACCTACCCCCAACCAGACAACATAACCAGTGTTACTCCTGCCTACCCCCACCCTGACAACATAACCAGTGTTACTCCTACCTACCCCAACCCATACAACATAATCAGTGTTACCCCTACCTACCCCCACCCATACAACATAAATAGTGTTACTCCTACCTACCCCACCCATACAACATAACCAGTGTTACTCCTACCTACCCCCACCCATACAACATAATCAGTGTTACTCCTACCTACCCCCACCCATACAACATAAATAGTGTTACTCCTACTCCCGAACTATACATCAGAACCAGCGTTACTCCTACCCCCACCCATACAACATAACCAGTGTTACTCCTACCTATCCCCAACCAGACAACATAACCAGTGGTAATCCTACCTACCCTCATACAACATAACCAGTGTTAATCCTACCTACCCCCACCCATACAACATAACCAGTGTTAATCCTACGAACCCCCACCCATACAACATAACCAGTGTTACTCCTACCTACCCCCACCCATACAACATATCCAGTGTTAATGTTAGCTTAGAATTTACATTCCCAGGTCCTTGGTAGTGGATGTTTATCATGCAAATATTTGCTGCGCGTTCCGAGAAAGGCTTATGTTTATGTTAGCATACTATATTGTACAAACATTTACTGCCTCAAACGTTAAACACTGTAGAATAGCTCCTGTACGACACGACACAATCTAGGACACACGCTACGCACCACAGTACACCGTACAACAACATGATATGCACAAAGACATGCAACCACAACACGACACATATTACATGACACACACTGACACAACACACAATGGCAACACTCGACACCCCATAACGTGTACAACACCTACACGTTCATGACACGCAACGGCAACAAGACACTCGACGACAACATGGCACTCGACGACAACATGACACACGTGTACAACAGCTACATGTACGTGACACTCAACGGCACATAACACACGTGTACAAGACACACGACGACAACGTGACACACGTATACAAGACCTACATGTACAGAAAGTAGACCACGCCCACCAACCGACTACTGTTTCCCGATTGGCTGCTAATAGAATGGGCGGGGCTTTCACTGATGTTTTCTACATTTGTTGGTGTGTTAATAATTTTATCAGAAGTACCGGGTATGTGAAGCCATTAATGAGTACGTATTTATTTATAAGTATTGACCTCAATATGTGTGTGTTATGGAGATATAAACGTAAAAACTGGTTTGCAAATTTTACGTAAATCAGCCGTATATACATCGGTTTTTATGTTTCGATCCATATAGTCAATTCTGAAATCAACAATATATTGTGTAAATGGCGCTGGTGTATAAGGTAGCTGCTAAAGAAAATCGCCCCCATGGTGTACTACAAGAAGCTAAAGCATCTGCTCGGAGGACGGTAGGTCGATGGTTCGATCCCCGGTCGCGTCATACCGAAAGTCGTTGAAAGATGGTACTCGTTGTTTCCATGTCTGGTGCTCGGCATTATGTGGATAAAACAAGAACTGGTCGGCTCGGAGTTTGAGTGTGGGTGGGTGGTTGGCGTATTCATGTTAAACTGCGTCATATTTATCTCAGTGGACTGGCACAATAAAACCAGCATTAGTCCCGACTAGTACAAGCCAATACACACACATGAATGTACTCACGCACATACACGTGTACATGTGTGTACGTCGCTAAATAAGTGAAGTACATAAATAATTTGAAGGCGAAGCTAGACCCATTCACCTCACCACCACCATCACCGATCCTCCATGTTTGCCAGCAACACGGCCGTTAGCCAGGTGATGTTTCCGACAGGTTTTATCTGTACAAGATAGTTGGTATCTTGACCTGTACGAACTCAGCTGACTATATGACTGGTCAGCTGACTATAGGCCGGCATTAAGGACTGGTCGGCACCGAGTCCCCGAGTGTGTGTGGCTGGATGGCGCGTCCATGTTAAACTGCGGCATGGTATCTCAGTGGGCTAGCACTATAAAATCGGTATTAGTCCGTGCCACCACAACTCCTACCCACCAATCCATCCACCAAAAACAACAATATTATTTATCATTAGCTCTTTATATCACGATCTTACAAGCAAATAAATTCTGTGTTTGTTAAGATACATAGACAATAACTTACGAGTGACGAGGAAGGACGGTTTACGAGCTAATTTAATTTTGTAAGTCACGAGCTTTGGGGAGTGACTTACCACAAAGAAATTCACGAGGGACAGATAACCTGTCATTTCTCGTCACAAGTAGTTTATTGTTTTTATTACCCATTGTCAAATTTAAACATAACAAGCTAAAAAGAAACACCAAAATTCACCTTAATAAAAGTGAGGCGAAATCACATTTTGGTATATTCCTACGAGTGTGAAATTCCTGGAATTTCACCGAAGCACAGTCCAACTACATTATGATTCCACGATAGTAAAATAGTTCATTTGAAACGTATCTATATCTGGGAATATTAAACCAAATATTCCGTCATTCAACACTGGGAATCATTTTGTTTTCAGTCATTAAAAACATTAAGTAATTCATAGTAGGTGGCATAGGATATCTGATAATTAATATAAATAATCAAACACGTGCAGTTTCCTTCAATCCATTCACCAGTTTCGCGGTCGTCATTGCGCATTGGATGAATTGGATGGTAGAACCACGTCATGTGTTTGTACCGCTGAAGCTACGGGTATCACAGTCGAGTCACAAACCGCAGTGGAGAGTGTGTGCGCGGACATAGGCCTAGCAACGGGTTCATTCGGTGCATTGGAACTTGAATGTTGGAAAGATTTCAACTTCCCGAGGTTAGGGAGTTAACTGACTATAAAAGTCCAGTTTCAACACTTACCGAACTAGGCTGGAATTATGGAGTCATATTTGGGCTGGACTAACGAATCTATGCATATTCTAATCAAAATCGCGTAACAAAAACAACATCAAATACCGTGCAGATTTCGGTTGATTGCAGGATTTGCAAAGCATGTGTACTATTTCTTAGCCTCAACAGATATTTTCCAAATCTTTTCAGGTTTTCAATCAAAGTGCTTACGTTATTTGATGCAATTCGTAAAGTAAGACCCGTTGTATTACAATATAGATCTTGATTATCGTTCAGATCGTCTTTTCTGGTCGCCGCTATATTGTTTGAAGCAAATGAAAGTGATATCAGAGGTGAAATCTGATTGGCCAATATGAGGGACATAGAACTCGTAATAGCCACTGGTGGCGCTACGATCGAATCCAGAAATTCCGGTCTAGTTCGGCAAGGGTGGACCTTTACAGTCAGTTGACTCGGGAGATGGAAAGACCGCGGTGTTGGGGGGGGGGGGGGGGGGGGGGGGGGGGTTGTATGGCAGACACTGAAGACACTGTTTCTGGAAGAACATGTATCCGAAGCTCACCGATCTCTGTTTTGACAAACTGTTCCATGTTTACTCTTTCAAATACCATTTCATCGATCGTGACTAGAGCATTCAATTGTCGCCATGTTTGTTTACGTTCCACGTTCTACGAGGTAGCAGATGATTATTCATGCATATTCAATGTTTTAAGAAATCCTATCAATGTATTGTGTAAGCCATAAGCGTTGGCAACAAATGTAAACGTTTATCCTAAATTTAAAATGAAAACTTATGTTCGGTAGAATTTGTGTGGTTTGTTTGTGGTATAAAGATGAATGAACCTCATATGTGGATGAAGAAAGTAGTTCCGGCAACCAATCAAATGACAGCATTCTGAAACATCCAATCAGCTGTAAGCGAAATGTACTAACCCACACCTCCTTCCCGCAGGGGTAATAAAAGAAGAAACGATTAGTACAAGCAGCCACACACACATGCATTCACTTCGCAATATAAATATATAAATCGTGAACGCGACGCGAAATCCCATTTCACACCCAGCTTTCCTGGTAAGTTGAAAATATTGCTCAGCGCAGAAGCGGCTGACATTAACATATACATAAAGTGTATACATATTCACCTATAGAATCACGTTGTATATTCCAAGGCACGTCTGTTGTGTGTACACATATGTACATACACGATTGTCATCAATGTTTAGCTCCCTACTAGTGCCTCGTGAAAGCTCCTCACAAGGTCGCTTTGTGTTTACTTTGGGAAGATATATAGAACGGGTATTCTGATATGGGTATTCATGAGGGTTGATATTCCCCCGGGACGTTGTTGTGAGTTTGTGGGACACAGTTGTGGACATTATCTCCTATTGCAGGGACGGGGAGGATTAGGGACATATCTCGACAGTTCATGCGTTCTTGCAAGCCACGGATCTGGTGTGCTGGCCGCATTTGCTGAAGGAGAGATACATTTGGAATACTGCTTTTTTAGGTAAGCCCTGTTACTGTTGGTACATGTATGTTACGAGGTTTTGTTGAAGTGAAATGGTTTAACGCTCAAGATTATTGGACTTATATATCGATGTGCATGCGCGCGCGCGCGCGCGTGTGTTTAGTCCGGATTGATGCTGGTTTTATAGTTCTCGCCAACTGAGATGCCATTTGGCAATTTAACATGGATACCCCACCCAGACGCATTATAATGACTTCGCGCCGGTCAGTCATTGTTTTATTCCCTGAACGCTAAGCAAGTTAAACATACATGCGGCCTTTTAACGACTTTTTTGCATGACGTGGCCGGAGATCGAACCACCGATGTTCGGTTCAAAGGACAGACCACGGGCGTCTGGTATCCTATGATAACATCAACAAATAACATAGAGGTTTTTGTCGAGGGATATGTGGTCACTTTTTTATTCGTAATTATGTCAAAATACCTTAAACTCTTGTGTTCCTCAGATGTGACAGACAAATAAGATCGTGGGTTCGAATCCCTGCTTCCCCTGCTTTTCATCACTTTGGGCTATCATCCAACATCAAGCTGACACGCCTTGATGTAACTGAGATACAACTCAAAGCGATATTATACCCGATGCAACTCACTCACTCACTCACTCACTCACTCACTCACTCACAACTGTCCCATCATGATTGCAATTTTTTTTGTCTTGCCACAATTTCACGCAAATCGGTCAGTTCATTCACGCTATTGTTTTGTTTGTTTGCGCTCGTCAGAGAAATGATGGACCCGACCAATCTCCAGCAACCCATGCTTGCCGTAAAAGGCGACTATGCTTGACGTAAGAGGCGACTAACGGGATCGGGTGGTCAGGCTCGCTGTCTTGGTTGATGCATCGTATCCCAATCGCGTAGATTGGTGCTCATGATATCAATCACTGGGTTGTCTGGTCCAGACTCGAATATTTACAAACCGCCGCCATATCGTTGGAATAATGCTGGGTGCGGCGTTAAACCACAAACAAACAATGACACGCTATCAACTAGTCACCACGCAAGACCACCCGATCTATCAAATCGCCTTTAAAGACAAGCATTCATAGCTGGGTTCCCATCCTGACGGTCAGTTGCTAATGTCAAACTGAACACATACAATGTAACAGTGTTGCAAGTACGTCAAATTATACCCCGCCGTCTTCAAGCTTATTACGGGGCGGTCGAGTAGCCTAGTGGTTAAAGCTTTCGCTCGTCACGCCGAAGACCCGGGTTCTATTTCCGACATGGGTACAAAGTGTGAAGCCCATTTCTGGTGTCCCCGGGCCCCGCCGTGATATTGCTGGAATATTGCTGGAATATTGCTGGAATATTGATAAAAGCGGCGTAAAACCATACTCACTCACTCAAGCTTATTACACCAAATCAGCGTCTCAGCGTATTTTAACATTGGCTTAAGATGCGCTGAACAGAGCCTTAACACAAACAAACGTCGTCAGGAGCTCACATGGCAATACGGCGACAAACAAAAGCTTCGCATTCACATGTAAATTGTGGTAAATATACCGTTGTGAGATAAATCCATTGTGTGGCCACACAAGAGCTATTCCGCGAGGAATAAACCGTCAACCTCTGATATAAAACACTGGGCGGAATGTTTGTACAGACGATGGCTTATATATTATGCTGACAACCCATGTACACAGCATGATGATTATATGACCTCTCACGAAACTTCTCGATATGCAGGGGGCACGGGTGACCTACATTAGGGCGCCGCGATTCGCTGTGCAGAGCTGCTTCTCTTGGGCACGCCAGAAACCTAGCATTGTGGGTTCGAATCCCGGTTCAACCCCATTATGTTTCTTTAATAGCTCCGTTCCCGTTGTTGTGGCTTTCACCAAATTGGCAGGCCTCTGGGACCTGCATCACTTCAAGCGTTCCTCCCAAATCAAACTTACACGCCCTCAAACAACTGAATTAGTGTTCCAAGCAGAGTAATACCAATCTCACTCACATATTTGTACAGCCCTTGATGTTATGGCCCAATGATACGACTGTTTGACTACTTAACTCTCTTGAACTGATTAAATTTTGATTATATGTTTTGTAATTAATAAACATTTTAGAATTGGTTGAATGAAACATGTTAACTGAGATAATCATTGTTAGTGGCTGTACCCTTGATGGAGGTTAAAGTAGTGTAAAATGATTGTCCTCCAGAGAGACCACGTCATTCGAAGTAATTTTTTTCCACCACAATTTTAATCGTAGAATATGTGTGCGTTTAATCTGGCTAAATTTGTCAATAATCGCCATCAGCTGAGGGGATGATGTAAATCCGGCTGGGGTCCATGCAGGTTGCAAAAGTACTGTAAGTCCCCATGGACCCTAGCATGGTGATCTACCTTCAGCTGCTGGCGATCTATAGCCCTTTTTATATTGTACTGTTTCTTTTAGTGATATCTTTTTATGGTTGTATGCTAGTTTTAAACATTAATCTGTGATATTTTAGTAATTTTACTGTCCATCGATGACAGGTTTTATTTAGTTTAAATATATGTATTAAAAATGTATAACTTCTCTTTATATGGTATGGCTGAAATATTGCCGATGTGACGTAAAGCATTTACTCACTCACTCACTCACTTATTTGTACAGCCCTTGATGTTATGGCTTAATGTTACGACTGTTACAGTACTCTCTTGAACTGATATTTAACCATGAGTTGTGTACAGATGGAATGATAAACGTTTGTGAGCTACTTTTTTCACCACAAGAAGCTTACTCGCCGTGATATAACTGGAATACTGTTCAAAGCGGCATTCAATCAAACACACTCACTCACTATAGATATGTATGCTACAGTGTGCCTAGGCCCCGTTCCACAAAGCGATCGTAGCACTAAGACAATCGTAACTCACATACTTTAACATAGACTTACGACAATCGCAGCGCTACGATCGCTTTGTGGAACGGGACCCTGAACTGCCGAGATGAAAATCCACCGTGAACAAAAATGTAGCTGGATGAGTGAGTGAGTGAGTATGGTTTTACGCCGCTTTTAGCAATATTCCAGCAATATCACGACGGGGGACACCAGAAATGGGCTCCACACATTGTACCCATATCGGGAATCGAACTCGGGTCTTCGGCGTGACGAGCAAACGCTTTAACCACTTGGCTACCCGACCGCCCCTTGCTGGATGAGTAGAAAACCAATAGGAAACTCGAATGACACAGTTCGCGAACCGTCATCTGGGTTAATGGCATGTTGAGATGATTTTAAGGTATTATACAAGTGTCCTCAATATTGACCCAGGCCTTATCTGAGCCCTGACCTTAGCTTTGTATCATTAAATAAGGCCCCTTTATATAACGTTCTTCGGGGAAAGTGGGACGGGGGATGCTTAGGATATAATATTTTTACGTTGAATGGAACAAGATCACTATAAAAATGTTTGTGCAGACTGTTGAAGATAAAATCCCGGGGCACCCCAAGAATGGGGTCGTGTTTTGGGGAATAAACGTGTTTCACTGCTAAACGTGTTACACGTAGCCCGATTCGTGAAGATCCGGCATAGAATAGGTCTTCAGCAACCCATGCTGAGGGTAAAAGGCGACTACGCTTGTTGAAAGACTTACGGGATCGGGTGGTCAGGCTCGCTGACTTGGTTGATGTATGTCATCGTATTCCAATTGCGTGGGACCGCCTCCGTGGTCTAGAGGTAGAGCGTCCGCCCGTAGAGCGGAAGGTCCGGGGTTCGATCCCCGACCGCGTCATACCAAAAGAAGTTAAAAGATAGTACTTGTTGTTACCCTGTCTGGCGCTAGGCATTAAGGGGTTTAAAACAAGGACTGGTCGGTTCGGAGTCAGTATACTGTGTCTGAGTGGGGTATTCATGTTAAACTGGGGCATGGTATCTCAGTGAGCTAGCACTATAAATCGGCATTAGTCCGGACTAGTACAAGCAGCCACACACACACACACACACACACACACACACACACACACGTGCATGCTATTGTCTATTGTCTATTTGTCAATCCCACAAACTTTAGGAAATACTCCATTCCTTGATCCATGGGGCGTTTGTTTCAAAACGTGGTGACCATAGATACAGTTAGATATATATCTGCACAGGTTCAGGTCAATTTGTCGTGGTCGGGTTCGATTCCCGACATGGGTACAAAGTGTGAAACCCATTTCTGGTGTCCCCCGTCGTGATATTGCAGGAATATTGCTAAAAGCGGCGTAAAACCATACTCACTCACTCAGGTGAACAGTTGACTTGCCTTCGCATGTGTTTGTGACCGGTGCAAGATACGCACACCTTTTCGAGAACAACTGGTATCATCACTTTTTGATAGTGATTCATGAACACATGCTCTTGATATGGTCGGAATCGTACAATCGACTCCACTTTGGGCAGATATTTCTATTTCTATACGAATATGGAAATGGCTTTATCACCGTTATTTACGCAGCATGGCACAAATAGCTATAGAGATTTGGGTTGCCCGTCACTGCCACGATGTGTGATGTCGAATGCAGGGCCACGTCAATACTTCACGGGTTTGAACATACTACGATCCTCCATCACCCGTGACTACATACAGCCTCTGTGCGGTGTAGTAGAGACTCGTGTCGTCAATCAATCACGGAATACAAATAGTTCCTTCTCCGTGCATGAAGCTTGTGCAAGCCCTACCTTTACCTGATATTGAATAAAAGCCACACAATCATTTCCATAATCACACGAAATCACTGTTAACAGAATCAGCTGTACAATTCCGGCTATGTTAAAGCATGTGTTTACGAATAAGTAAAAAGGCTTAAATGATGATTCTTGGTGTTCGCGAAAAAGTATATTTTGAACAGATGGCCGCAAAGATGAGGCACATATTGCGCGATAAATGGTGCCGTTTTGTGTGTCGCAATTGAGGCCTCTTTGGCTTCTCCTCGCTGGAACCAGGCCTTGCAATGAGTTGTTATTTAATATAGCGACTACATTGCAAGTCGGACGTATGCATTCACAG